CTCGGCCACACGGAGCCCCCTTCCCAGAGAAACTCTGTCGAATTCCGTGACAAGATACTATTTTGTCAAACAATAGGCACACACACACATCTTTCACTTGAGAGTTCATCCTAAAAAAAAAAACTGTCTGACCGTCAGCCCTTCAGGAAGCACAAACCATTCAGTCTCAGAAGCGCTGTTGGATTTCAGTCGTGACAATACTTCCTCTGAGGTTATCTTCAAGGTCTGGTAGCTGACATCAGACAACCTATCGACAGGATAGGCTTTACCTAACAACACAATCTTAACGTTAACGGGGATAATGAGATTTTTTACACACAGGTAACACACTGTTGATACCGAAATTAAAAACAAACAGTACTGTCACACGGTTTGTGTTCGTTATTTAATTTGAAGAATAAACAAAAAATATAGTTATTCGCTGTGGAGTCTATTTTTGCAGACACGTAGGTTTTATTTTTAATAGAAGCACGGTATTTTAAGACTTTATTTTGAAGAAAACAGGACAAGAGGAACCAGAAAGCATTCAGTAATATACGTATAGATGTACTAATGGAAGACGTCAAAGTTAATTCCACGCCGAAACGAGAGAGAAGAGACAACGTTTCGGCTACAGAGACCTCTGTAGGGGAAAGCCAAAAAAGCGTGTTTCTGCTTTCTACATTGAAGTGTGGAATTAACCTTTACGTGCTCCTTTGCAGTTGACCCAATTCCTCACTTGAACCTACAGTATGTATTTTAAAGTCGGAACTGAAAAGCGACTTGCATTTGTAAGGACCGATTAACATTATGCACACACTTCTGTCATAACAGTACCACCTGCGTCACCAAACTAAGGTAACAACATGCGTTCTTAATTAATGAGGAGGGTGCCAGAATTTCGCAGAGGCTTAGAGTTTGATAAAAGCCGGGAGCTGAGTGAATAAATGAATACCACCTGTTACAAAATCATAAATCTGTTACGTAATCGCGTTCTGTTACAAGATCTGTTTTAGTTTTAAATTCCAAAATTACTTAAAGAGTGCAATGCACAACCAAGACATCCCGCCGTCGTTATTTTTGAACATTAGTTACAAACACCGTTGCAAAACAATCTTTCATTGTTTGCGTTTTCATAAGTAACAGAGAATGACAGATCTTACGCTACAGACTGAAGCTAACTGGGCTGGAACAAGATCGCAGAATAACTTCTAACATTTGTTGTTTCTAGTTAATGCAAACCACTATTTCACTACGCGTGCTTTATTGATATTATTTCAGAAAGTTAGCTCTTGTCTCTTCTTACCTCCCTGTAACTCTTTTGTCGTCGTGTGGGTTTCCATTTTACGTGAACAAACTACCTTACCTCCCTGCGTAGCACAACAGCACGATCTGCTGATGTAAACCGGCATTACTACTGATCTCCTGTCCGGGTGCGATATTGTACTGCCTTTCTGTCGGCACAGTGTTCAAAGCAACAGAACGCATATGCCTATGGTGATTCCTTCAGTATTTTCCTTCTTATGATATTTTTATCCAGGACGATTTCAGTTGCTGTAATTGTCATAATTCCAGTATACACATATTCAAATGTTTTATTTATTTTTTCTCCGTGGGTAAACAGCGTGCACGTTTTTCTCTGGTTAAATCGTCAGTGACAGTGTTAATGATTTCGTAATCTGAACAGGTTTACTTTTAAGTACAGCAAAACATTTCCGAGGTGAAGATCCTGAGCGATCGATGATCGGTCTAAATTTAAGCTAATTCTGTGGGTTGAGCTCTCCGTGTTTTCGGGAACCGAAAATGAGATTTCTGGCGAGGTCAAAGCGCAGCTGCCGGCTGTGGTGGTTGATGCCCTGATGCCCTGATGCCTTCAGACCAGCTCCACCCGCGTAAACTGTTCGCACCGGATTATTCTCACGCAGCACGAGCTGGCGCCCAGCTCTCATCGTGGCACAAACAGCACCGCCGGCAGAGCGTGGCAGGTCCGTGACGTCATGTGGCCGTGGTTGACGCTGAGGGTTAAGAATAGCCCGAGGATCTGGGTCAGAACAGGACATCCATTCTCCAGTGACGCTCGCCGTGTCGGGAGGAACTATCCCCATATTGACAGTTTACAGGAATCCTTGTAACGACCGCTAGTATCGAGAGTGGTCCTGTCTCAGATGTTGTCAGGGTGAAATTAGATGACAATCTACAACAAAAAGACCACCAAACCATAATGCCACCATCATCATCAACATAGATGAATGCAGTTCCATGACAGACCGCGGGTAACGTGTCCTGCTTTCTGCTGCTGTACATGCGCAGTCTCTACCATGTAACACAATCCTCCATCTCCATGGGGATCATAACCGCGATTAACTGGAAGCACCAATTAACTAATTAATTAACTAATCTGTCTGATTAGTCCCCTGTGCTATCGTCTCGCGGCTCAACGACATTGTACTTGGGTGCGAGGGGCCTCGGCGAGTCCCCTGGGTGCCTGAGGTTGGGTCCATCCATTTTCTAACTGCTTTGACCAGTACAGGGTCGTGAGGGCACCGAAGCCTGTCCTGGCAAGCAATGGGCACAAGGCAGGGCACACCCTGGACAGGATGCCAGTCCATCACAGGGCACACACAGACACAGACTCACACACTATCTCATCAGCGCCAGTTGTCCAGACGCCAGTTAACCTGCCAGTATGTCCCACAGGACTGTGGGAGGAAACTGGAGCACCTGGAGGAGAAGCATGTAAACACGGGGAGAACATGCTAACTCCACACAGACAGCACCCCAGGCGCTGAACCCAGGGACCCAGCGCTGCGAGGCAGCAAAGCCAAGGTTGTAGTGCTGCTGAAATCAAGTGAAAAGGTGAAGTGTTAGTTGGGCCAGCAGGGGGCGCTCACCCTGTGGTCCACGTGGGTCCTAATGCCCCAGTATAGTGATGGGGACACTATACTGTAAAC